GTGGATTGCTGTGGAGTAGAGATAGCCTTGGGTACGATTTGTGGCTGCATAGGACCAGGCGGTTTGCCAGCGCTGAGATTTGAAGAGGTGATATTCGGGGGTGGAACCTGCGGCGACATGAATGTCACACCGGCTGCACCAGCTTTCGCGGGGACATTCCGAGGTACGGTTTTGGCCTGCGGCGCCGGAAAGGTTTTTCCATTTGGTGTCTGCGGTTGAGGTGGCCTGCCCGTCGCCATCTGTGGGGTGGGTGGAGGTGGTTGCACCGATGGCTGCAGTTGTTGCGGTTGCGGCTGAATCGGTCTGGTCGGATCTTTTAGTGACTGTCCTGCTGGTTGCTTGGGGAGTTGTGAAGGCGTCTGAGGTAGGTAAGGCATAGCCTTTGGTGGTTGCTTATCCGGCTGCAAGTCCTTGGGTTGCGGCACGGGCTGTGCTTGCGCCCTATCCACGACCGGCGGCGGAGGCTTTGACTGAATTGGTGCGGGCATAGGTTTCTGGGGCGGTCTCTCTTCCTTCACATCCAAGTCCATTGGTTCCGGCGCATGTTCTTGCTTCGGGGGTGCAACTGGCTGCTGCGGCGGGCGCATAATGGCCTGCGGCTGTGCTTCGCGTTCTTCCTTCTGCAACAGTTCAATCTCGTTTCGGATCTCCGTGTATCTCATCTCATCGTTCCTAATTTCCCTCGTCACAAGCTCCTTATACCTAGCGTACAGATGCGACACCAGGGTTGGCATTAGGCTGCTATGGCTCGACCCTTTTTCGGACAACTCATCTGGCTGTGGGCTCGCAATCTTCCGTTTTTTCGGGTTAACCGGACTCTCAGCATGGCGACCATTTGGCTCATGAGCCGCGACGACACCGATCGAGTCGACACCTTCCCTCATCAACGTCGTATAGAGATCCTCGAGGGCCTCCGGGGCGAGTCTCCCGGCATCAAACGCGGCATTCTGGCGAATGAATGGATTCTTGCGGAGAACATCGGAGATGGTCGCGAAACTCGCGGGTCGAGCATCTAAGGCAGCGAGGGACTGGAAAAAGAGGAGCGACTCAAAGGGGGTGTAAGCAGATAGAGGAGGCATCCCCCATTGCCCGTCAGATCGGCCGCCGGGGGAGAGGGATTTTGGAATGGGGGCCACGGTGATAAAAGAGATCGTTGCGAGACGGTTGGCCCGGTAAGTTAATCCGAACGTTCAGCGTCAACCGCTTTGTAGCTTGGCCCTGCAATAGAGGACTCTCGGTGGGTGTACCGAACCCAGATGGACGTTCGTGCCTTGAAAACCAGGCCGACAAGGTCGCGTGTGCGGGACTGGAAGGAAAGGATTAGAGGTGCGGGTTTAGACCATCCGCGCAAAAAAAAGGGAAGGGGGAGTCGAAAAATTAGGCAGAAAATCAGAGACGGGAAAAACGCGACCGTGTCAAGATGGGTGACGCGGGGTGGGAGGAAACCGTAGAAAATTGGGAGAAAATGGAGTATCGTTTAAGGGGGAAGAGGTACCCAAAATGGATTTAGAGAGAAAAAAAGGATGACAACGATGGTGGATAAAAAAGGAACGGGGATGGATGGATGGATGGGTAGGATGGGTAGGATGGGATGGGATGGGATGGGATGGGATGGGATGATGGGATGGGGGTCGAGGGGAGAGAGGTGTGGATAGGATAGGATGGAATCAGTTCTCGCCGCGATGTTGCGTTTTCCCCGCCCAAGGGAGTCTGTCTGTCTGTCTTTTACTGCTGGGCTCCTTCATCACCTCACTCACTCACCCTTTCTCCCGCGACCGATCCGGAAAAGGTCTGCGAGTCACGTGGGACACGGGAATGGAGGAAGTCGGAACAAACCGTATTCAGCAGCTTGTTGATTTATTACACTTATTGTCACGGCAACCTGCCACCTTTCAGGTTTGACAATGGTCACTTTGCCCAGTCGCAGAGATTTGGCTTATCTTTCTTTCTGGCCTAACATCTGACCTGGGGAGGGCGCTCTTACCACTCTTCCCTCCTTTCCAGTACGGCATATAGAGTACTTTGTATAAAAGTGAGGAACATGGCACCGCGCGAGTCTCCTATCAGGGGCTATGAGATAGTATGCTCTGAATCGAAATTCTCTTTCATCCGAATACTTTCTCACCCAAACGAACCCAACAGCATCATGATTCCTCCAGTCAATACACCGTGATCTGTAGTAGTAATTCTAGCATAGCAGAGCAGTGGACGGTACCTGGCCTGGGCTTAGTAGCGCCGGCTCTGTGATGCTAGCGTCGGCCCAGCCCGGGACTCTCGGCTGGATTGTACTCACTCGGGTAGATAAAAGCACATGCTTCGACACAGCACGATAGCTACAATAATAAGTACTTGGTAGTCTATCAAATAGCTCTCACCCAAAGAACTTTGTCTTCTCTGACTCCCATGGTCGAATGTCTTGGTCAGCTCAAGTTGCCTTTGTGCATTATGCCAGCTCAAGTATCTTAGCGTATCGCTCCGATCGAGCGCTATACAGGATGTCTCTCAAAAGATGCTGAAGATTTGATAAGCTTCTGTGCCGGAAGAACCGGAAGAGGTTAATATCTGTATTACTGTCTGACCTGGGCTTTGCTTGTATGAGTTTAGCCAAGTTGAAAAGTGGTCTTCAGCAACATGCACGTCGTCCCATACCATAAACGCAGTCCAGCGTTTAAACACCTTGATCAAAGACGGTTCTGGCCTGCTTTGGGCTCATATCAAATGTGGTAGGTCGCTGCTTGAAGCTCTATGGACTCATCTGAGATAAAGTAAAGTCTTAGTGATTAAGAGGCTTCTGCGAGCTTGAGGCTGAAAGATACATCATTCGAAGGTGAGACAACACTAGGTGGATCCATGCTACCACGCATACTCCAATAACATCCCATATCAAACAGATTCAACCGTGCGTAGCATGAAACTAGAAAAATCGCCGTGTCAGATTGAAATGCCTCCTATCCTCAATAAGTATTGACCATGTGTGAATTACAGGCCAGTGTGCTGGATTTCTATCGCATCTCAGCCGCCACCCTGCGACTTCGAAGCCTACACAATTTCACTACTGCCGATGATCGGAGAATCTGTCAAAGATCAAAGGACTTCAGAGTTTGTATGAGAAGCGAAAGTCGCAGATCTCAGTCACCAAAGAAGCGGCCCTGAGGCATCATAGGAGTGCCCTGAAGTATCCGGTCAACTATAACTACTGGCCGCAGCCATTCGTCAAGCAACTCCTGCTAGCGGGGCCAATAAACTCCAAGTCAAGAGCGCAGTGAGAGGAGCCACAGCATGTTTCGACTTACATTCTCATCTCAACCATATTATGCCCGTGGGCCCTGACCTGCTCCATCTTCTCCAAACTTGACTCTTCTTTTTGGTACGGTGGTGGATTGACCAGTACGAGGCTTGATGACCTCCACAGCGGCTGATGTTGGCCTTGTTTGAGGTACTGTGCCTTTGGGGGTGAAATAACTATACAGTATTGGAAGTCTGCCTTGATATTCACCAATCTACCACCATCCAACAACGTCTGGGTTTACACGGCCTGGCATGAGTTTACTCAACTGAGGGTCTAGCGATGTCAATCTCGAGGTTGAAAGGGGCTGTCAAGTTCAAAACAGCCACCATATGCCAAAGTCGATGTTCTTCTCCTTGCCAGGTGCAGCAGCAGCTGCGCGAGCATGGCTGGCGAAAGGGGTTGGCGGGGGGTTGAAGTCGCCGGAGAACTTTCTCATATCAAAACCACTATGAGAAGCTATTAATACGGACAGAAGTGACAAGATGGAATATTGAGAACGATCATCATACACATGCAGTCAACTCCGCGTTTGACCGCTGTCAACCCCAGTGCTATACGCTGATAGTTGGAAGTCCAAGTGGATAGTTGGTTAGTGCTAAGTTAAGAGGCTTGTGGCGGTGGCATTAAACCCAAAGGGTGGGTGGCAGTACGGAAAGCTCTGGCGAGGATGGAGTTAGGGGGAGGGGCACGGGTCACGTGAAAGGTACCGAGCGGGTACAATCCTCCATAGTTTCAGGGGAAATCTCCATCACAGTAAAAAGGACGGAGCAATAATGAAAGTAAAATAATAATACTCCCCAACCAGATGGTCAAGAGTTACTAGTGGCCAAGAGCAACAGGACTATTTACCCACCTCAGTAACTACCGGTACCGGTGCAGACGGGACTATGGACTAGACCTAAGCTAAACTTATCCGATTCAACAGTGCACTTCAACCCTCCCTAAAGACCAAGTGACTCCTCCTCTTGCTTGCTATGAACTTGGATGAATGGATCCATGAATATCCAGCCCACCCTGGGAGAATCTTGCATGCACCACCACCAATAACCGATACCAGGAATCCACACGCAGAGAGGGTCTTTGCATCAGATCGCCTCTTGGACCCCCTCCCAGCGCCAGCCATCGTCATTCCGCCGATCGTGCTGTGTGCCCCTGTCAACTACTCCGTACTTAATTGTAACCAAGTTATGAGCACTCACTCACTAACTTACCTACTCTGTCTCTGATAACTCAAAAGTGGTCCATCCCCCCCTCCTTCCTGGCTTATAGTTGGTAGAGACAGCAAGCGCTTGCAATCTGACCGACTGTTCTATGCGTTAACTTAACTCAGTCTTACTTACCGTCTGTGTCCATATCACTCTCCCGTTGGAGAAATTCTTTTGTTCTTCGCCTCTTCTTCCACTCCTCTTTTCTCCTCCTAATCTCCCCCTCCCCCCCATAATTTAAGGCGTAAGGCCCACCCCGTCCGTGCTATCATATCCACTTCCAACACCCCCTGTTCCGCTAAAGACGCGCGCGCTCCCAAATAACTCCCCTCCGAGCCTCTCAGCCTGTTGCGTTTCGCATACTCCTTTTTTCCTTACTTCTCCCGCCATACCGACCTTCCAGTTGCCACAGCTCTCTCGTATCCCGCTCTTCCCCAACGCCCATCGGATCAACCGAACACTATTATCACAATCATCAAAAATGTCATCGGACTCGGAGCAAGAATGGAAGCCCAGCGGTCGCCCTCAGTCGTTCGTACTCCTTTGCGCTCCTCCCCTCCGTTCTTAGATGTGGGCGTTGACCAAGACATGGCAGGACCATGGCACAGGCCTTTTCGACCGCGCTGGATAGCGCCTTTTCTCTGGACACCGATGTCAATCATCTCTCACAGACCATCGACCAAAAGTAGGTTCCACTCCCATTCTCAACGAATATTCATCCTGAGACCCATCCTGTGCCGGGCCTCTGTTGGCAGGTCACCACATGATCGCATGAGCTGATAGAGCAACTCGACCAGGAAGCTGCAGATGATGATCCAGACCCGCGAACTCGAACAACTTCAAGCCAAGATCCGCGAAGCCGAAGAACGCCTCAAAGCTCGACAGTCGGTGATTATGGAGGCCAGAAACCCTGCAGCGCAAAGAGACGGTCGGTTCTACGGAGGCTCAGGTAAATCGAGCCTCGCCGTTTGATCTCGCCGATAACAACATCGCTAACCGCCATCGCTGCTGATCAGGAAACACGTCAGCGTCGTCGTCGCCCACCGATTCAGCACAATTCTCCAGCGGCGATGAACAGCTGCGACGCAGCCAAGGCCGCAGTTCATAACGGCATGTAGGCGGGCCAGCGTGGGCACATTAGCATATAATCTGGGTTATGGTTTCAAGGACAGGAGAATCTGATGGGCTTCGACTTCACTGCTACAATATTTTATATATCCTTATCGGGCGAGCATGTTTGGGAGAAATCGGTTTTTGTTTTTTTTTTTTTGTTTTTTGTTTTTGTTTTTTTCCCTTTCTTCAATTCTCAGTCTTTGCCTTTCTGTTTGTTTGCATCGGTCATCGTGTTCCCACACTCGCGCATACCTCATCGCATGGGAGGGTCAAGCGGATGTCGGTGCACAGCTTTTGTTGCTCGAGTCCTTTTCGCGCTGGATAGCGTCGATGGCCGAGTTGAGCGTGCATGCCACGATCTCACGAGTCTAGTGGGTGAAGGGGTGTTTTATCATTCTTTTGTGGCGTAACATGTTCCATCATCATATTCTGATAGTCAACAAGCGGATTATTTCAGGAGCGGGTTGTTTCTTGAATGTTTCGAGTGTTTTGTGAAGATGAAATGAGAGTGAAGAAGAAGTCGCTGCGGGCTGCTGTGTTTGTCTTAGGGTAACGGACTGAGTCGCCCCCTCGATGGTCTATTTTTAGCCCAACTGTTTGTTGCACAGCATCCGATCGATCCCTCGGGGAATGTGAGTCCAGAAAAAGATCTCTTCCTCCGTGCCCAAACTATCTGTGCTTTTGCTGTGCACTGCTGGATTAGCAGTCAATGGAAGAGAAGAATCCTCCTCGAGTGGCTCATGTCAATGTCGATCGAGTGCCGTGCCCGACCCGACCGACAGCGCCGATCCATCCATTTCCCACCGCGACAGGAGCGCTTGACAGGAGTATTTCTCTGCTCGATGTGAATGGGTCGTTTTCCAACGGCCCTAATATTGCTCGACGGTGCCTTATCGCCCTAATTCGGTTCGATGTTGCCAAGGTCACGATTGATGGGGCAGAAATGCCTTTCTTTTCGTGCGGATACTCTTCCCAACGGGCGTTCGGTTGATCGTCACGGCTAGCTTTGAAATCATCCGGGCCGTGATTGCAATGGGTGTCAGGCAGACCCGACAAGAAAAGATCTTGATCGTTTGCCGGTGATTCTGAGACTGGCAGCCTGGTCGAGTCATTCTCATGAGGGGTTTATCTACTCTCAACTTCGGCAATATGCTGTTGGATCTGCTAACCGCAAATGGCGAATCCTGTTCGTATTGATAATAACTAATGCTGAGGAACTAGATGGTGAGTGTAACTCTGGACGGAGCAATGCAGAGTCAATCTCATCAATCTTTTTTTTTCTTTTCATCACACTTCTCAATTTGCATTCTTCTGTGGAATTCTGGTGCACGCCCATGAAGGCAATGATGTCAGTGCTTCTCTGCCCCAACCAGGGAAAACGCGGGCGAAACCCCAGAAAAGCGCCAAAGAGGCGTCCGAGCGAGGGTCCAGACCATAGCAGGCAGACTCTGCTATCGCCAGTCCCTCCCCTCTCATGCTCTGTGTTGTCGTGCAGCATGAATGATAAGTTAGCTACCTAGTACAGTACCTAGCTAGTCGGTACCGTAGTCTAGTTAATTAATATCAGGTTCAGCTAGTCTTCTAGCTCGCTGAGCTCCCGGAAGGATTCCCTGTTTCCTTTGGTTGTGTTGCTGCCCCTCCCCTCCTCATCATCATCATTTTCTCCGGCTTCCTTCTCTTCCTCTCTCTCTCTCTCCCTCTCTTTCTACACTAGACTAACTAAACTTACTTACTCCGACTCCGTCATCTTTTCTCCTCCTTCCCCTTCCTTCCCCTCACCTGTTTCTCCTTCTTTTGTTTTCTTTTCCTTTTTCTTTTCTCTCTCCATCTCACTCTCCCCTTCCGTTGTTTGTAACTGCCATTCTCCCTCCCGTGGTAGATTCTCTTATCTACTACCCGAAAGGCGTTCGATCGGCGTCACCATGGTCCTCATTGACAAGCATTCGTACGAATCCCGCGAGGAGCAACGACTCAAGGAAGATCGCGAGCGCACTCGCTACTGGAAACGCTGGGGTCCCTACGTCGCCGAGAGACAATGGGCTACTGGTATGCTCTCTCCCCTTCGATCTGGAGGCTGGGAGATTTCACATGAAACTGACGCAATGACCTCATTTCTCCTGCCGCCCCGCAGTTCGCGAAGATTACTCGTAAGCGTTACTCTTTCGTGCATTTCGCTGCAAGATGCATCAATGGCATCAATTGAACCATCGCTGACGGAATATCTTATTTCTACACTTTCAGTGAGAATGGAGATGCCTGGAGCTGTAAGTCGCGCTCACATGCTGATTATACCACTCATGACTGATCGCTCTGATCCGCTGTAGACTTTTCCCACGACCATGCGCGGTCCCGAACTTACCGCTGGGGTGAGGACGGTATCGCCGGTGTGTCCGATACCCACAGCTTGCAAAACATCGCTTTTGCTTTTTGGAATGGCAAAGAGTATGTGGGGTCCGGTCCACGTCTGTAGCAAACTTGGCTCACCTTCGATTTTAGCGACTTCTTGAAGGAGCGTCTGTTCGGTTTGTCTAATCCCCAGGGAAACCATGGCGAGAGTGTCAAGGAGGCCCATTTCCACCTCGATAACACTCCGACAGTAAGACCCTTCTGCTCCCTCGGCGTGGATTTGACTTCGGTCTGGTTTCTAATCCGACCACGCGCATAGCACTCTTACATGAAATTCCTCTACAAGTATCCCCAGAAGAAGTTTCCCTACCAGGAGCTTGCTGAGGAGAACGCACGACGCGGGAAAAGTGACCGCGAGTACCAGATCCTCGACACTGATGCCTTCGATGAGAATCGTTACTGGGATATCTTCATCGAGACTGCGAAAGAGGACGACGATGAGGAAGAACTCTTGTTCCGCATTATCGCCTACAATCGAGGACCTGAGCCAGCACACTTGCACATCATCCCGCATGTGTGGTTCCGCAACACCTGGGCATGGGGGTATGAGGAGAAGAACGCCAAGCCGTCCGTGGAGAAAGCCTATCCTCTGATCGCTAAGACCAAACACCACAAACTTGGCGAGCGCTATGTCCGTTTCTCTCCTTCCCCGTCTGTGACTGGGGAGGAAGATGTGGTTCCTAAGCTGCTGTTCACCGAGAACGAAACCAATAACGAATTTCTCTGGAACACCAAGAATGATCAGCCCTACGTCAAAGACGCCTTTCATCGTCACATTGTCAACGGTGAGAAGGGTGCAGTCAATCCCGAAAACAAGGGTACCAAGTTTGCCGCCTGGTATGCCTTTGATGAGGGCGAGGGTGTTCCTCCCGGCGAATGCGTGGTCGTTCGTTTCCGATTCTCTCGACGCCTGGAACCGTTCATCGATGAAGAAGTGCTGGATGATGTGATCGACCAGCGCAGAAATGAGGCCGATGACTTTTACTACCATATCAGTCCTTTGCCCATGAGCGATGACTTGCGGAATATTCAGCGCCAAGCTTTCTCCGGAATGATGTGGAACAAGCAGTTCTACCATTTCGTCTGGGACCAGTGGGCTAATGGCGACCCTGCGATGATCCCACCTCCCCCCGGTAGGAAGCACGTTCGAAACCAACAGTGGAAACACTTGTACATGGAGGATATTCTCTCGATGCCCGATTCGTGGGAATATCCATTCTTCGCTGCGTGGGATACTGCGTTCCACTGCATTCCACTTGCAATGATCGACCCGGAATTTGCGAAAAAGCAGCTGGACATCCTCACTCGCGAGTGGTACATGCATCCCAACGGTCAGCTTGCAGCCTACGAGTGGAACTTTGGTGATGTGAACCCTCCTGTTCATGCCTGGGCTACGTTCCGCGTCTTCAAGATTGAGCGTAAGATGTATGGACGGCAGGACCTTGATTTCTTGGAGCGGGTGTTCCAGAAGCTGTTGCTAAACTTCACATGGTGGGTCAACCGAAAGGATTCCGACGGTAAGAACGTCTTTGAGGGCGGCTTTTTGGGGCTGGACAACATCGGCCTCTTCAACCGCTCCGAGCCTCTCCCCACCGGCGGTGTGCTGGAGCAGGCCGATAGCACAGGATGGATGGCCTTCTACTGCTTGTGCATGTTGAACATCGCGTTGGAGCTAGCCAAGCATCGGAGAATTTACGAAGACAGTGAGTGATCTCACTCTCTATATTGAGCCACTTATGTGCTGATAGAGGTCTAGTTGCCTCCAAATTCTTCGAGCACTTCATTCTGATTAGTGATGCCATGACTTTCCGATCAGGAGGTCAGGAATCGTCCCTCTGGAACGAGGAAGATGGGTCAGTGGTCCGATGCCTAACAATTGAGATAATTGCTTACGATGTATAGTTTCTATTACGATGCGATCTCCTACGGTGACCCCTGGACCCAGCAGCTACCTGTGCGGTCTTTAGTCGGCTTGATCCCTCTCTATGCCGTCCTCACACTTGAGCCAGAGTTGATCAACAAGTTCCCATCTTTCAAGAAGCGTTTGGAATGGTTCGTTGAGAATCGCCAAGATGTGGCCGAGCGCAACATTGCAAGCATGAAGCACCGCGGCAAAGACGAGCGACTCCTTCTAGCGTTGGTGAGCAAGGACCGCCTGGAGAAAATTCTCAAGCGCATGCTGGACGAGACCGAGTTTCTGTCGGAGCACGGCATCCGATCGATGTCCAAGTATCATGGAGAGCACCCCTATTCGATGGATGTCAACGGTCAGACATTCCGAGTCAGCTATGTTCCAGGAGACTCCGACAGTGGGCTGTTCGGAGGCAACAGCAACTGGCGTGGGCCGATCTGGTTGTGTGTCAACTTCCTGCTCATCGAGTCTTTGCTACGCTTCTACATGTTCTATGGCGATTCATTCAAGATCGAGTGTCCCACAGGCTCCGGCGAGTACATGCATCTCGGGCACATTGCCGAAGAGATTCAGCACCGGCTGCAGCACCTGTTCGCTCGCAACGACGAAGGCCGCCGGGCGGTACACAATGGATCCGACCTTCTCGACTTTGACGAGCACTGGAAGGATTACATGTGGTTCCATGAGTTCTTCGACGGAGACACCGGCCGCGGTCTTGGAGCGTCTCACCAGTGCGGATGGACTGGTCTCATTGCCAAGATCATCCATGACACAGGGTATGTCACACCTCACACGTCTGTCTGTCTATTGTTCCTGGCTAATAGTGCTATTAGTATCAACTGCCGTCTCCCACAAACACCCCGCACCCCCCACGCAGCAGCATCGCACTACTTCGACGACGTCTTCACTCGATTCTCCCGCCCACGCGGCAGCCGTCGTCCCAGCGTTCGCCGCTCTTCCACGACCCGCTCAATCGGCAACCGCAGCGACTTCGAGTCCACTCTCTCTGGACGCGAGACCCCGGCTCCTGAGACTGCCCTCGACGAGGACGACGACAACCGGAAAGTCGACACCGACCTCCAGAACGAGCATGTTCACAAATATGTGGAGAGTCAGCTGCAGCGCGTAAGAAGCCAAGCTTCGATTGGAGCGTACGAGGATGAATTTGAGGCGCAGGCAGACCGCGCCCCCAACGGGCATTGAAATTTATGGAAAGATGACATTGAATGAGAGAGAGCATGAAGTCGACGGGAACTGGAACCTAGTACAAAGTTAGACAGATGTTTATTTCCGAAGATGTGTTAGATGGGTAGTAATGTTGTTGATTTTAGAGCGGTGATCATTTCGAAAGCATGAATAAAGATTGTCTGATTATCTGTTTTCTTTTTCTTTTTTGTCTCCCCTTTTCAAGCTGAAATGCTGCATACATGGAATGAAGATATGACCCCTCATTCAGACCGCTTGCTGTGAAGATACATTCATCGCCTGTATTGTCCGCGGCTTTGTTTCTCGTCATTCTCTGGCTTGGTGCAGGGTCTACCCTCGCTCTAACCAACCAACCCCCTCACCTCTCTTTAAATGTCTACCATCTGATAATATCACCAACCGAACTACCCCCGAGCCTGAAATTGACCAACCTCAGCGAAATCCCAACATATAATTCAATGCATTATATCTAATCTTTGTAGAACCAACACCCGCTTGCTTCACTTCAACAAAAAGCCACAAAACCAAGATTCGAGCACGCAAACCAGCGACACATGTTTATCTTGAACTAGTAGTCAACACCCAAAGTCCCGTTCCTCAAGCCAGGAGCAGGCGCCTCGCCGACTATATAGCTGTGCTACACGATGTGCAGTAAAGTACAGTACATTGAAGACGCGGACCATCCATCCGCAGCCAGCGATTCTGCAATACTATACTCCGCTGGATTACTTGCCCCGGATTGCCAACTAGGTCTGCTCCGTTCAGCGGATATGGTGCTGCATGTACAATAGCCAAGCCAGAGGTACTTTTTTAAAGAGGGGGGTCTTTCTGCATGGGGTCGGGGTTGGGCTTGGACTTGGTCAACGTCGCTACCCCCCTCTAGATTCAGGGGTCTTGTCGCTGGATATGCATGTACCACTGTAATGGTGCAAGTATAATGGGGTCTAACTCGGCTGGCTGAGCTCGATATCGTCTGACTGTTAGAGGGTTGATGCTCTTGTAGCCTGATAGATAATTATTCTTAATATCTACATCTACATCTACACCTCAACCCTATTCAAACTCCATCATCGTCGGGTGCACACCTCTTACTTCTAGGTGTACACTCCACTCCACACTCTACAGCACATCTACACCTCCGAAACCAACCCCATTACCCAAAGACAATACCCCACCCCCAAAAAAAGTTCAAAGAAAAGTCGCGCAATTGAGGTTTAGGATACATTTATATGACGGATGAAAGGGAGGTGAGACGATAGAAGGGGTGTGTGTGAACGGGTTCGGGGGGATGAGGGAATATAGTTATACTGATGGAAGAGACGGTTTTGTTGCTTCCATCAACAAACATAATTTATTTTCTTTTTGCCGGGAAAAGGCAAAAGAGATTTACAGAGCATCGGTGAGGGCCTTGTTGAGCTTAGCGATCTTGGAGGAAACGCTGAGGTCGATGGTGCGGTCGCCGATTTCGACGACGAGGCCGCCGAGGAGGTCGGGGTTGACCTGTTGCCATTGTTAGGTGTCCGGTTTGGGGAGTAGGAGATAATAAAAGGGGGAGTTACCTTGGAGACAACCTTGAGCTTCTTGCCCTGGCTGAACTCGGACTTGGAGACGGCCCTCTCGAGACGGTTGAGGGTCTTGGTGTCGAGCTCCTAGAAATTTGGTGTGTTAGTTTAGTGTTTGGGTGCTGATTGAGACCCTGGAATTGCTCCAGAAGGAACGGCAACCTACCTGAGCACTGGTGATGCTCAGCTCGACCTCACCACGGTGGGCGCCCATGAGGGTCGCGAACTTCTCGCAGACACCCTCCAGCAGACCCAGGCGGTTGTTCTCGGCCAGGGTGGCCAGGAAGTTCTTGATGATCTCGGCCTTGTCGGCGCCGCCGGCCACCTTCTGCAGCTCGGCGATGATCTGCTGCTTGTCGGAGACGGAGAGGGTCGGGGCGTTCAGGATCTCGATCAGCTTGCGGTCGGCCTTGAGGGTCTGGCTCAGGTTGCCCAGGGCCTTGGCGGTCTGCTCCAGAGCGGCGGACTTGGCCGAGGCGGTGTACTACAAGCAGCAATGAGAAGGATTTGAGTTAGCCGGATATCTCGCTTTCTGTTTCCTTCGAGGGGGGGGGCTTTTTTCTGTGGATGATTTGGACAAGGGCTGGTGTTTGTCCGCCCAATTGTTGCTGGTGTCTTGTGTGCCCTTGCTCGCTTTCCGTCTCGTCTCAGTTCGGGTTCTTGTATAGGTCTGTTTGTGGTATTTTCCCATGGTGTAGGAAAGTTGATCTTGCGTGTGATTGAAGAGACGAGACGGATTGGAGCAGCCCGCGCGCGCACACCCATTGGACCGAGGGCGGAGGGGAGACGCCACAGCAACGAATTGGACCACCACCCCAGGAAGAACCGTGCTGAGTGTGATGTGTGCATACCAGAGCAGTGGCATAGGTGCCGTCAACGCCGAACAGAGACACCGGGGGCTTGACCTCCTGGGCCGGGGTGGCATAGGTGCGAAGACCGTTGAGAGCGGCAGTGCGAGGCACGGTGAAGTGCTGGGCGGAGGCACGGAGGCCGACGCGGGCGAGACGAACGGAGAACATGGTGATCGGTGGGAAGGAGGACCTGGGCGAACCGGGGGAGTGGAGGAGGGAGGGAGATGCGAGAAGACGTCTGTGTTTCGTCGATGGAGACTGACTGACTTGCGTTTGGTGATGGCGTCTCGAGGTTCGGGGCCAGGTTCAGTTCCTGCCGGCTAGGGCGGTCACGTGAGTTCCCGCACACGCCGGGTTTTCGGCTATTCTGCTTTCCCTCTCGTACTACTCATATTCATACTACACCAGACATTTGAAAAGAGAGACTGCATACTGCTTTCATTCGCATACAAACATCGAACAGCGGTAATCTGCAATGCCCATCAACTCAATACCTTCATCAGAAACGAAACAAAAACGCCGGACGGCCTCTACGACCTTCTTTAAATGTTCCCTTTTACGAATGCCTCCACGCCCAAACGCCCTGGTCCCGTCATCCTTCATCCTCTCGTGTGCTCGCCTGTCAGCCGCAAATCAGTCACTCCGCAGCATACTGTCCACCAGGTCGCCCAGAGGCCCCCAGAAATCCTTCCCGCTTGCCAAGCGATGCTCGTCGATGAACAGAACGTAGTGTTTGAAGCTGGTGTTCAGGTGGGGTTCCAAGCCGAGATGCACCACCACGGGATAGTGGTGACAGTAAATGTGCGCATACACCCGGTACATACGCTTGTAGATCTGTCGCACCAGACTGGGGAACGCTTTGGGGAAGGGAACACCTGCAGTGGGTTTCCAAATGTTAGCACCTGCCACCGCCGCCAATGTTATAGCTTGTAGAGTGCTGTAGCGGCTGCAGCGGCTGCAGCCAGAACCGGGTGAACCCTCCGCCCCCCGTTGGGGCATCACGTACCGAGCCTGCTGGGGAAGATCTGTTCGTTGTCGACGCTGCTTTGCACCCAGCTCATCAGATGTTCGATATACTCGGGCGCGGACATCTTCGTCGGGCGCTTGAAGTTCTCCGAGTCCTGCCAGAGGTACTCGAACCTAGTTCACGAATCCTTGTCAGCTCTGAGGACATATATACCACCTGGGAAACTCGGGTTTCGCATACTCATCGGTCGCTTTCATCTCCGGACATGATTGAGGCGAGCAGAACTCTGTGATCGCGCCGTACAGTAGGTTAATCTGATTGTAGAAGTCGACAACTGCGGGGACGAAGGTAACAACATGGTTGGATCAGCACGCGGACAACACGCTTGTGGCATACACATTCGGCGGTCACTTGATTTGTATCAGAAACACACCATTCACGGCCAACCATTCATTCAAGTCCTCGCCCTCGGGCAGTTTCACGGCCTTGCGCAGACTGCCGCTGCCGAGCGTCGCTTCCGCAAATTGTCTCAGTTGGTAGCTGGTGGTGCCCTTGGCTGCCGACCGCGGCTTGAAGGGCGCGCGAGTGCGAGCATTGCTGGGAGGTGTCAGTCCACACGGGTCATTTTTCAGCGCGAACACCGCCGGTGACAAGTAGGAGGGGGGTTCAGAGAGAGGAGCGCGGGAAGTATGGACGGTGTTGTGGTAGACTGAAGGGACGAGAGGGAGGGGAGGGAGAGGGCGCCGTGAAGACGTCGGAGTCGGCGGGGCAGCAGATGAAGAGGAGGAAGAGGAGGAGGAATTGGTGGTGACGGGGACAGACATTGTGGTGATGAAAGATGCCATCTCGCTTTCGCGTGAGGAAAAGGCTCTCTCTTTTGACTAGATAAGGACAGCGAACGGGTCGCCTGTCGAAGGCCGCGGGCTGCCTGGAATTATTTCCTTCAGCGGCGGCGGCGGAGGATCGAGTGCGTGGTGGGAGGAGAATGCGCCTACATTCCGATGCCAGACAGTCAAGCAATCCGTCAGTCCATCTGGGCGCGCACAGGCATCGAGAGGGGGGTTACTCACTGGCTCGGCCAAGAGTCCCGGGTCTGGAGCGCCAATAGTCCCTCAAGGGCGCGTTGAAGACGAGATTATAGGCGTGTGTTTTAGTTAGTGTCAAGTGGGCGACGATGGGGGGGGGGAGGAGGACTGGGGAAGAGAAACAAAAAGAGAAGTAGAGGGAAGGAGAAGAAGGATGGGATCAGCGATCGATTCGGGCCCGACCAGATCGGATGAGGCGCAAACACCAGGAACTAATCAATGTCGCACGAGTTAATATAAATTGGCTGCGGGGGAATATATCTACTATGAGTACTACCACCATCTAGTCTATACAACAATATCTATAGACTAAGTTACTGCTCCTATCTACACTAGACCAACTTGAGTACGTAGTGACTCTTGAGTTGCTCCACGCTTCCCACCCACCCACGGAACCATGGATGATGCAGTCTTCCAACTCCCAAGTCGTCCAACGCCCCGTCCGTTGCCCCGGTGACCCCGTCGCGCCGCAAGGAAATGGAGGCTTTATTAGTTAGAACGTCCCAGAGGAAATTCTTCTGGCTGGCATGCACCAACTTACTAGTCTCTCATTACGTTGTTTCAGTCTAGCGCAGCCAAGGTATGGACTGACTTAGACTGCAAGGAACCTGGATGTGTCCTAGACTCTATGCGACGTCATAGAATCCAGAAGTCGCTTATTTTCTTAACGTCTTGTAATTGTAGTAGGATACACATCGTTCGCGTATAGCTTATGTCAAATAGCGTATCCTTCGTTTTCTTCTGGCAGCCGCTCCCTGACTGTCTCGCCATAAATCGTGATCGGGATTGCGATCTCAAATGACTCACACCCGATGGTTTCCAAGGCTGACATGACCCGTCCGCGTTCGTCTTCAGATACGGCCTCCAACAATCGCGAACCCGATGGCGCTGACCCGTCATGCGCATTACTGGTAACGAACTCGAATCGGAGTTCCCATTCATGATTCACTCCAGTGGTGAGGATTGTAGGTGTTGCAGAGACAGGGATTGCTGGACTGAAGACCACGCGGGTCGCGTAGAGCGTGTTCTCGAAATACGAGGCATGGACCTTGCGAGTCGCACGACGGATGCTCGCGTTCGATCGGATAGCCAGAGCCGGGGCAACTCGCTCGGAGCTCTCAAGGGTGGCACGTAGAGCGTAGCAAGGAAGTGCGGCATCGGTGAAGTTCACGGTGGCTATAATCGTCTCGCCTAGTCGGTGAGACGGGCGGTTAAGGACAACAACGGCGATTCGGCGTCCGTTGCGGGCGATCTCGAACCGATTGGGGCTACGAGATGAATGAAGCGCTTGATTGCTCCGAAGGATGGCGAGGTCAATGATATCCTTGCAGGATAGTCGACCGGTCGCCGGATCGTGACTTGCTCGATGTTCCGCCGAAGCTTCGGGTGGGTGCAGCGAGTTGTTTCGGGAGGCTTTTTCAAGGATGCCATCCACGTATGACAGGAATTCTGGGGCCGACGTCCACGTAGGGCCACTAATGCTTTTGGGCTTCACTACTGGGGCAGGGTTCGTTCCGACCTTTTGTACCCTAGCTTCGTCTCGGAGCAGCACATAGGGGCTCATCAGATCATGGCCCATGATATCTCCCTGGCCTGTAAGAGGAATTAATCACTTTGTTCTTAGTTGGTTCGAGCCCAACACTTACCATTGACTCCGCTGAACACACGGAAAGGTATGCTAATGCGGTTCACCCGCTGCGGCTCGTTACGATTACTCGGCCGTTGTGTGCCGATGACCAGATTGTAGGATATCTTGATCGCTTTTCCCTTGTGGCTAGCTGGCAAGCCACTTGGAAGAGTGAAAGAGAACGAATACGACTGCTCCTCCCCAGGTGCCAGTCGCAAGTCTACGAAGAGAAGCGACTGCGTTGTGGAAAGTAGTGGTATCGATCGAGACGATGAGACGCCCCGCATGTCTCGTAAGCCATCCAGTTCGTTGTTGGAGAGGAGACCACTCAATGACTCCTCAATTGCATTCCATTTGAACGCACCCCAGAAGCCGCCGCTTTTGCGACTCTTCTCTTCGCTCGCACCTGGTTTCCCACTTGGCGGACCGGCTGCGCCCCCTGCTCCTCCGACAACACCTTTCCGCTTGACTTCCTCAAAGATAGATTGGTGAATCAGAGAGCCATCCACAGTAAATGAAGCGCTGATCTGTGCGTAACCCATAAGCAGTGTCTGAGTGTGAGGCGAAAGCCCCGGGGATTCCACACTTGACACATGTCGTGAGTGGCGGGATACAATAGGCGGGCGCGGCACTGTCATGGAATAGTTTGTATACTCGGACTGGAGAGTCTCTGAGGAATTGTCGCTGATCGAGTTGTAATCCCCACTACTTCTGTGACTTCCAGCCAGGCTGGAAGTTGACATGATTCTCGTTAGCTGCGGCAAATGTCCTGGTGCCGCCAAAGCCGTCATTTCCTTCCCATTGGGTCTGGGTGCTGTAGGATTCTCTTCAATTGGCGATGTTAATGTTGAAACGCCTATATGGCTGTTGGTGTCAGTAGCTGGGGACGGCGGAAATTTGAATTCTATCGGTGATAATGGAGGCCGACGCGCAGGGGTACGAGGTGGCTCGATTGATCGATTGGGACTGTAGATATTTGAGCCAGGGCGGCTGGTGTCATTCGGACCGTCGATGTCAATTCTGGGGTTCCCGGGAGATGAATGAATTGAGGACACCGTAGGTGGAAAGCTGCGAACGGGACTGCGACCACCTAGAAATGCAAGCTTTTAGCATTCAACCCATGCCCTTGATCTCTGCTTCGTTATCAAGTACCTATTGCGGACTGATCCTCATATGCTTCATATCTCCTTGGCAAGACCTGTAGACTTGCCGCGCGCCCATGACGCCTTAGTGGTCGGGGGTGGCTGAATTGTGATGATGTCCGGGGTGTCGGCTCTCCGGTTCCTTCACTATCGATGGAGAGTATAGAGACCGATCGTTTATGCTTGCCACTGGCGGCCGAGCCATTGCGAGGAGTAGACGGAGGAGGGAAGCTGTGCGAGCCGATCAACGGCGAGCTCACCGAGGAAGAAAGGCGGTGCGACGGGCTTTTCTTAGCTGCTGTGGAGTACGAGCGACGATGCGGACTGAAGAAGAATTTCTGAGGGGATTTCAGCGAGAATAATGACTCGGAGTGGGTGCTTGTAGCTCGCGAAGGTTGTCTGTGGTGTGAGGTCGGACCCCCGGGATGGGGTTCCACGTTCGTCTCCGCAACGTTCTTGAAGGTAATAGTGCATTCCACATCTTCCCCCGCAAATATTGTCTGGTCTTTCCACTTCACAAAGACTTGGATGTCTGATGGCATGGCGGCGATTGGAAGGCTCCCATGTGGATTTGGGTGAGCGCGCACAGGTAAGACCAGAAGGAGGAAGCTCGGGGTAGTTCAGTTGGTTGGTGGGTACCAGCCGCCACCTTGGAAAGACAACCCTAAACCAAAGCGCCAGGAGGTATATATTACAGTCAAAAGATGATCTGATGTTTGCCAGCTAGGGCATGGCGTCAAATGGCGAAGGACATAATGGTGGAAGGAGAATTAGGAGAGCCGAAAGGAAGCGGGTGAACGTAGCCTAGCGATTCAGTCCGCTCCATAACGTTCCTGGCGGCGGCGGCGGCAGCGGAGGAGAGGATGGGTTTACTAGTCTAGCCGAGACCCTTAATGAGCGCATACATCAAATGCAATTTACAACCAATAAGCAAAACTCGACTATGCGCGTAAGACGTCTACTGTCATGTTGGGTTCCTGATCCAATGCTGTTCCCTGCTTGTTTAGAGCTTTGATCACTACGAGCAAGTGCGCTAGGACAGACGATATTGCCTTCGATTTAGAGATAGGAAGAAGTGAAATGACGCCAACCCATACAACGCCACCGTCCCTGCTCGTCAATATACATCATGCAATGGTATTATACAGTGTTTGTGCTCCTGCAAGCCATAGCGAGGTCGTCTATACCTTGTCTTCATCGCCCTTAGCCTCATAAAAGAGGACTTGCGAGTCTTGAATTTTTTCCGTATCCTTGGTAGGTGGTCGTAAGCCGAGCTCAGTCATGTGAGCCCAGATGCGATCGTGTCGTCTCTCCCATCGCTTCCGGCGATCCTCCATTTCTTTGTCTGATGCACGCCATTTGCTCTTCAGGATACGTCTAATCGCCTCTGGCGAGACCTTGAACTGCTCGGCGAGAACAGGTGTGGTGAACTTATCTGGTGCCACCTGATGCAAGTGTCGGATTCCCTCTATCGCATCGGGGGAGAGTTTCTTAGGAGGATTCCATCCTTCCTTGAACTTCTCTTTCAGAGCAGCCTTCTGGGTTTGCCAGTGCTCTTTCTTCTTCGGCGGGCCAGTATTTTTGATGGCATCCCTCCAAGTCTTTGGCTTCCCTTCCGAGGGCTTTGTCTTCTCCAAAAGCTTGGTCTTCTCCGAGGGCTTCATTTTCGATCGATCGCCGCGTGAATCGGTTTTGCTGCGAGAGCCTTCAGCTCTCCCTCTACCAGCGCCTTTGGCATCCGTTCGTTTTGTAAAAGAAACCCGGTTAGTCTCAGATGAGGATTCTGGGGTTTGTACGACGGTATCTGTCGAGTTGTCGCCACGTTCGTTCTTTGCCGGTGTGGCTGTTTCTATCTTGTTCGTCGCATCCGGAGAATATTCGAGGGTATCGCTGGACGACAACAATGAATGAGACTTATGTATCTGGATTTGATGAGTGGAGCTGAAACTGCGTTGGGCGCCAGGCTTGCGATAGGCAAGAGGCGTTATCGGGAACAAGCTTCGACGTTGATAAACTCGACAGGTAGAGCGAGCAAGATCTGGTTGAAAAGCTTCATACAGCAGAGATGACAGGTGCATTCGTGCTGAAGCAGCCCCTGAATGCCACATGATGATGCGCTGGCTTGGGGAAGATGTCGGAGGCAAACGCGACCAGAAAAAAGAAGTATCGCGCTGATAAAATCCCGCGGGAGACTTCTAGAAACGGGGCTAGAACAATTTACCGCTTCCCCCAGTAGTCATGTGACTGGCCGACATACAACCACTCAGTCAACTGTTGACCTTCCACCATCCAATCCACTATCATCTACGATGTCGGCAGACGGAATAGCAAGGGGATTTTCGACATTCTCATTGCTCCTGTTCTATCTGAAACTTGCTCACCGCTAATTCATAATGGCTTACTCACCAGTGAAGAGTAAGAATCTGTGAGATGCGCGAATCAGCAGCCCCCTTGATTCGGCGCGAAGTCCATACTCTTGTCAGTGGTCCTAAGGACAACAAAGACTGCCTCGCGGCCTGCAGGAACCGAAACCTAGTCTGGACAATTCAAGCCAGTGCAATATACCCAGTGCAGCGGAGGACTTACTTCAATGGTCAAAGAATACCTTAGACATTCTGCTACCCAACATCTGCCTGAAGCATGCAATGTTCTTTGAGCGGTAGCGCAGCAATGAATGATTCGACCATTCAACTCAATATGATGACTCCCTAGAGCAAGACCATGGTACCGAATGAATAGGACGTGCCGCTCCGTATTTCCTGCCCATTGGCCTTTTCCCACCAAACGTTGAATGTTGACAGCCTGCGACCCCAGATGGAAGGATGAATTGGGTGCCGAAGTCAGAAAGGGCGCCATTCCCAAGGGTGGATGCTCTCCCCCCCCCACAGGCCGGGGCCACTTAATGTCTGCGTTGTGGACATGATCAGATGTGATCTGCCTTTCGCTCACTGCCCAGGTGTCTCAAGGTCTTGCAACAGATTTTGACGTGACTAGACCCTCAAAGAAGTGCGCCAAACAGCAAGGAACTAATGCAACAGACCTTCTATTCTCATTCTCCGCTCCTCTCCTTTCTCGTTGCTGCAGGCTCCGGGACGATCAGACAACGGGGAGATCTCCCATCGCCGGGCGCTCATTTTAGCTTCCCGCGCTAAAAACCCAAGGGTTCGTCCGTCATTTTTCGGCTCTCCGCCCGGCGTGGAAGGAGGAGCAGCTAAGTTACAGTGTTTACCTGCCTCACATTCTTCTGTTTGTCCGATCTTCAAATCGGATTTTCTCACTCATTATCCGCCTGCTTCAATCGTTTGCCCGATTCTCCTTTTCTGCTCTTCCTCTTCATTTCTTACTGTCTCTCTTCTTTCTAGTCGCTCATTCATCGGTGGTTCAGTCCATGACTTGATCGTGATCTGCTTACCCCTTCGTTCCCTTGAAGCTCCTCCGCCGCCGCCGCCTATTGCTCCCCTCTTCTCCAGCCTTTGCGCACCCGACCACTTGCGTTGGACAAATTTAGAACGACGCTGCTTCACAAATACAACCAAGAATACTCGCATTGACTATATTTATCATTCTTCGCAGTGACCAACACGGAAGGAGGCTTCGAACAAATCCCCTCCGCAGCCCCTCAATCGCGGCTCCTTCCTCATATGAGCGATACGACTTGCCAGTTCTCAGGCGATTTCATACAAGCGCCCATTCCTTTTGAAACATCACTACTCGAAAGTATCAATGCACCAAACCCTCTCCCCTTGTCTCCAGGGCGTTTTACCATAATCCACCTACAAACCCGCTCCGACTCGCCATGGCCTACAATACTCTGAGCGCGAAAAGCAAGACCAGCTCGGGGTCGTCCTTTCGCATCACACCTACAAATTCACCTGTTCTGAGACCCTCCACACGCTCTTCGATGCACAAGACACCACCACAACAGGCAATCCTGGCCCTCCAGACAGTAATTGGTACCACCACCAACTCGCCCAGAGGCTTCTCCAGTCATGCGGAGAGTAATTCCTTCGCTATTTGCGCTGGCTCGACCGTCGTCCTAGCGGAAATAGACGAGAGAAGAACCCTCCAGCAACGCTTCTTCAGGGCGCGACCTTCTGCGACCAGTGTCAATCCTGTCACCTCTTTCTATAATACCTCCACTCCTCCCACAACTCCAGATAGCAGAGCAAAAACTCCTTCGGGTACAAGGTCTGCAGCCCAAAGCGTCCTGCACGGTGGTAATGCCGGTAATGAGCTGGTGGAGTGCAATAGTCCACGTGGATGGTCATCTCGAGAAAGAGTGAAAGCAGTCACCAGCGTCGCGATTAGTCCGAATGGGGGTCTGCTTGCCGTTGGGGAGGTATGTCTCCGTAAATTAACTTGTATCAACTCACTCCTATGCTGATATTTGTTAGATTGGATATGGTCCGAGGGTCCTTATCTACTCAACCGCCAAAGGCGCCTCTGGTGAAATCCCACTCTCCATTCTGACCGAGCATACGTTTGGGGTGCGTGGACTGGCTTTCAGCCCAGATTCACAGTATCTTGCCACCCTTGGCGATGTCAATGATGGATTCCTGTTTGTCTGGTCCGTGAACCCGAAGACAGGATCGGCCAGGCTGCATTCCACTAATAAATGCACTTCATTCATTCGCGACATGGCTTGGGTTGGGCAGACTTTGGTCACGTAAGTAATGTTATTTATCGCTCTGTCTGGCCTAGTACTAACAAGCTGTTCAGAGTGGGCACCCGACATGTTAAGGTTTGGAGGCTGCCGGACGCGAGACCGGGATCTCCAAAATCTCGGCTTACTGCCGAACCAAGCGCCAGTCCATCAACCCATACTCCGAAAGCTCTGTCTGGGAGAAATTGCTTGCTGGGCTCGCTAGCAGAAAGCACGTTCACCAGTGTAGCTAGCGTTTCTGACTGTGAGTCAGTAGTAGGAACAGACACGGGGGCTCTTTGCTTCCTGGATCATAACGAGGGAACACACAAGCTGTCTGTTGCCCATTACTTTGATTATGCTATCACTTCTCTCGCGGTCGATCTGGACCGCTCATGTCTCTGGGTTGGTGGACGTGGCGGACGTATCCAGTGCATGACCTTGGCGAAATTACGTTCCTTAACCGTTCCATCTTCGCCTGCGTTTTCTGATAGATCCTCAGTGGAACCGAGTTCAAAGGGGCCCACCATCACATGTATTGGATGCCTTGGTCCCAACTTGGTGGCAATGGACTCTAGCAACGCTCTCAAGATTTTCTCGACTGAAGACTTGAGTGATGATCTGGATATCAATGATAGTGATTTGGGAAACACTCTTCAAGCTCACAGGGATGCTGTCCTTGGTATCCGTCCATTCTCGGACCCCAATGACCTTGGAGCAGAATTCTATACCTGGTCACGCAATGGAGTTGTCAAGTTCTGGGATGACACAGGCAAGTGTCGGGACTCACGTTCGATCATTCTTGAGCATCCCACCGGGGTCAATGAGGATATCTCCAACGAGCTGAAAGTCTTGTGTGCTACTGATAACATGGATTACTTCTTGTCCGGCGACAAATTTGGTGTCCTAAGGTATCATATTGACCCGAATTGGCCATTGCTGTACTCTCACTAACATACGTTTACTAGACTATGGCTGAATCACCCATGGAAATGCATTCAAGAAGTCCGAGCTCATAGTGGGGAGATCACTGATATTGCTGTACATTCCTCCATCCAGGGTCTTTTTATTGCTAGCGCCAGTCGCGATCGCACTATACAATTGTTTCTCTGGGCAAATGAGAGTCTTGAATTGATTCAGACCATGGACGACCACATTGGAGCTGTCAATGAAATCATTTTCATCGATAATGGAAAGCGACTAGTATCATGCTCTGCCGATCGTACCATTCAGATCAGAGAGTGCGTGAGTCGCGAGGCTCACGGCGCGTCTGCTTTCGCGTACTTGGTCTCAAAAGTGATAACATTGAAGGCCTCGCCAGTATCCATGGCACTACTACCAAAAAATGAAAACACACTCATTGTCTCCACTACTGATCGCTTTGTTCAGCGCATTGACCTGAGTTCTGGTCGACAAACTCATTCTTTCCGGACCACTGACGCTGATTCAACTGATACAGTGGTCATGAGCTCCCTAGCTGTCTCTGCCGACGATCCGGAACATGATACCCCTAGAATGCTCGTAGGAGTGTCAGGATCAGACAAGTCCATCCGTGTGTACGACTTGGACAGAGGCTTCCTTCTCGCGGCTGAATTCGGACATACCGAAGGAGTTAGCGACGTTTGTCTGCTCTCGAGGAGTTCTAAGTCATCGAGCCAAGGGAAGAAGTGCTCTCTAGTCAGCTCTGGGATTGATGGTCTCGTTATGCTATGGGATCTATCGCTGCTTGCTCAAACACCTCGAGATTCCGTGCACACTAGTAATAAGGAAGACGATGACGCTCCAACCAAAGCTTCCGCAGTCTCCAAGCCTCCTTTACGCAAAGTCCTGTCCAGGCATGAGATTGCCGAATTTCAGCGGCAGGAGAATCTTGCGGTCACTCCGACCCCTGCGCGTGGACATTCTCCAACATTTCTGCGGAAATTCGCTAAATTATCCCTTTCGCCTTCCCTTAGATCTGGAAGCACTTCTCCGACCTCACCCGCATCGACACCTAGTCGCCGCTCACCTACGTCTGGCATTCATCGAGACAAAGCACATACATCACCCTCACTCTGCAAACAAAAGCCTCCTAGTGCTAAGAAGGCCGTGTGTAGCCGCAAAGAATCTCGCCGTTCATCTATGGACTTCCGGGCTCGTGCTAGGAGTATGGGGAAAAGCGATCTCGGCGCTCTCGATACGTCCACCGAACAAGTATGTCGAACATTAAAGGCTTACCGTAAAAAGCTCAACAGCTCGACAGAGTATTTACATACTCAGAGGGATTTGGAGAGAGAGCTAGAACTCACGCTGCGTGTGTTGGCCTCCCGGAACAGGACCCGTGAGACCCTCGAGAACGATACCGACAGCAGCGGCAAGGAAAATCAGAAGATATCTCGAATCGGCAAGTTCCATGAAGACTCATATAGCACCGAGCGACTATCTTCGATGCCGGAAGTTCAACGGACAGATTCGTTCGCGCCCTCAGAGATCTCTTCCCTTATTCTGAATGGCGATGATTGAACAAATGAGATTCAATGGCAGGCCCATTGCACTCTTCTATCACATTCTAGGGACCACAGTATTTCCTGGTCATCCTCTTTCCTTTCTGCCCCTCAACTGTCATAACATATCATTCAAGCGGGACCTATGCACTTTGAATTCGCCTTGATGAGTTCATCGCTTACACCAACCACCTTAGCTCTAAGCGTTTCAGGTGCCTCGATGTACTTTTTCCTCGTTTTAACCTCTCATTTGCGAGGACTTCACATTTCAGGATATATATCCTTCGTTTCTTACCGGCGTTCTATGCAAGGACACACTTGAGTTTGCGGTCCCCATCCAATCCAGTCGCTATGCTGCGGCATCATTTAGTCTTCTTTCTACTTAAGGTGAGGGCTTCGCTCCTGGGCTGGGATTTTTACTTCAAGTTCATATGCCCCTGTCCTTAAACCTTCTTTATACTCTTTCTCGGGACGTTGTTCAACTTCCTTTCACTTGCATCACATCCTTTATGTTGGCCTTGTTAGCTAAGCTCAAAATGATACCCATATTGGCCGAATACCATAGCAAGCCTAACTCTGATGGTTCTTGCATCGGGATATGGATCTTTCCCATTCGTAATTGACCGTGTCTTTTTCCGTGTTAGATTTTAATCGATCACCCAGCTACATATAGACCTGTCACACTTGCCCCTCATATCTAGTTGGTAGCTGAGCCATAGACTCGCTCATACATTCATAATGCGGAGGTGGAGGCGGAGAAAACACTTGCCACCTACAGCTGAAACCTCCCAATTCAGACCATCCCACCCGACTCCTTGTCCATTGACCCCGATCCTTTCACCCCTCCCACCATCAACTTCCCATACCTCGCCCTCAACAACTCCCCCAACGCACCACCCCCGCCATCCTCCCCACCCACGCCATCCACCACCACCAGCAGCAAGTCCGCCAACGCAATCGCCTTGCCCGCCCACCGCCGACACTCCCCATCCTCCCCGGCCAGATAGAAATCCACCGCCCGATTGAACGCCACCGACGCCATCCACTGCACCTCCACCGCCGGGAATTCAGTCATCTGCCAGTCCCGCACGAGGACCAGGACCTGATCGAGGACCGACTCCGCGAGATCGGGCTGGCTTGCATCGAGGGCGAGTTGGTACAGCACGCGCAGGTAGCGGGGGAGGGTCTGATACATGGTGGTGGTGGTGGTTGTTTTCGTGGATTTAGTGAGGTCGGGGGAGGGGGAGGTGTGGATTGTTCGGAGGAGATGCTTTTTTTTTAGTTGCGGTGAGAATTGGATAGTGTGTTTAGGTGTTGTTTGGGGCTTGATGGGGCTTGGGCTTGGAGGTTGGAGGGTGGTTTGTATTCTTCTTCGTATGGGGAGAGGGGACGTACCTTGATGACTTGGATGATGTTTGTGAGAGGGGTGGTGGTGCTGGCGCGGAGGAGGATGTCGAGGTAGATTGCTGTTTGTTGGGGAGTGAGGATGGGAGAGGAGAGGTGGAATAGGTTCGTTATGTGGTTCCAATTACTGCTGCTGCTGCTGTTGTTGTTGTCGTCGTCGCTGTTGAGATGGATTGAGGCTTCTAGGTCAAGGGCGAGAATGATGCGGTATTTTGGGAGCCAGAAGGCGGTGCTGTCTGAATTCAGGCTTGCGGTTGAAGCGGGAATGGCGTTTGAGGGCAAGTTTGGAACTGGAGTTGGGGTTGCTTTGAAATTGTAGGGCCACTGGTGGTAGTTGGTGAGGTTTGCTTGGAAGGCCATGCTGGATTCATGGGCTGCTGTGTAATGGGTTTTCTGGAGGTTGAGGGATTTGAGTTAGGGTTATGGATGATGGAAAGGGGCCGGGGGGAGGGGGCAAGATGACCTTCTTTGTTGGATCGGTGGTTTGTCGCGCAAGTGATATGTGCTTGGTTGTCTTTAGAAATCGACACAGGAGGTACGTGGTGTTGAGTGGTGGATCGGTTGAATTGACTTGTTCCTGGTGTAGGGTTGTGAAATAGAGGCTGGTAAGTCTGGATATTTGGAGATGAAATGGAAGCGGCTGTCTTCTACCTTGATGGATGTTTCAACGAGACTCAGGGTCTGCTCAGTTTGTTCCGAGTCCCGTAGTCTCAGCGCCAGGTTGTAGCTCTTCTTCGCAAGCCACTCTATCTCGTCGGTGGTGAAAGCCCCTGCTCGCTTCTGACCGGGAAACCTATCTATGGCTAATCGGGTTAGCTAACACTTTGCCGGACTTGTTAAGAGGCCACGCACCTGATTCAAATGCAAATATTATTGCATCTACTAGCCCTTCATCTTTGGCATCGCAAGCGTCGAGTTCAGTGACAAGATATAGGATGGTAGACATAGGATTATTGTCAGTCGGGAAAGCTGATGGTGCACTCAACTTCACACATACTGAAATACACGCCCTGTCTGGTTGTCGAGTTGAAGGCCTTCCTTGCTCAAAAAAGTTTGCTGAAGACATTGAAGTGCCTCTATCATCTTTCCCTGTCGAAATGCTTCCGCTATGCATGATATGATATACGGCGATGATGTCTCAACGAGCTCGAACAGTGCTTGCATATAGACAAAACCTGTGCCTTGTTAGAAGGCTAGAAACAGGGAGCAGGAGAAATGCCTACTAGAAGTACATGTACTATTCCGCAGGGTCAACTTGTACATCAGATACAAAGTCAGCGGGCAATGTCTGCATTCTTCTGGCAGATGGTTGAAAAGTGTATCCGCAGCGGTTGTGCTCAGTGTCTCAGAAGCACAAAGAATAAGTCTCCTATTTCTTCGTCAGCTTTGATAAGAAGATGTGGCAATCTTTCTTATCTGAATAGCTTAGATCTGGTGTCGGAGGAAAGTAGAATGACTGGCTGTTTGAGCATGAAGAGACACCATTGTTCTGCGGAGAGTGCATCATGATCCGATATCGCTCGATTTATGTGTTTCCAGACTATCTTTGACTCGCTCAGTAACTGATAGTTGACCATAGGATTGAGAGAATACCATCAAACAAGCTTGTTGTGCTTCTACGCTAAGGAATTGCGTGTCGAAATTCAGGTTTTCAACAACCTCCTTAAAGAGTCGCAGGCTCGCCTGTGCAGAGAAGCATGGATTTGTCAGAGCATCGACTAGCCTGACAAAGACATGTTCGAGTAATCGGTGTTCATGATCAAGGCGCGGACTCCCAGTCATCTCAGTCAGGAGCCGCTCTAGTGCATGAAAATACATTTCGGGACTGCAGCATGTCAGGATAGGGGTATCAATTGCTCACATGGTGACTCACGAGTCCTGAAGCTTGTCGATATAGTAAAGGATCCTATCAAGGGTTACTGAGCTGCCTTGTCATTCGAGCTGGGCATCCGCACATCCTGAAGCTACTTTCTGAGGCATCCACCGCCTTGAAGGCGTCTTGTAGTACTGCCATGAATATCAGTAACTGCTCTAAATTATAGTGGCACAACTCACCTTGAAAGTACTGTTCCACATCTCTGTCCCCTCGAGCAAGAACTTCAAGCTCGAGAAGCCGAATTGAAAACACATTGCTATATAGCTAAACACGCATGGGCATAGAAGCATTGCTGGAGAATGGGCCCACTTACAGATTTGAGCTGCTCGAGGGCTCTCGCAAGATTGTCTCGAGAGTCATGCGTATCAAGGTATTTATTCGCTCGAACTGTTCCAAAGTCAGTATATGAGATATGAATGACCCAGATAGTCCAGGGTCCACACCTAAAGCATGCAGAGTCAGAAGCGCCTTATTCCGCAAAGCTACATCAGATTCTTTGGAACTGGAAACGAGCACCTTGCATTGCTGCAACCCCCTTTCCAACCACTTCGCCGCCACATCGTACTGCCTGCATGACAATGCCGAGCTCCCAACCTTGAAGCAAATATCCAGAGCACAGCAGTCGCCAGTGTTCAAGTCAGGAAGTTTCAGAAACAAATGATCTGCAATGTCCGGTCTGCCTTGAATCCAAGCCTGAATCCGGTCCTCCCCGTCAGCAGCGTACAGTACCCAGACTTCAGCTCCGCGCAACAAGATGAGACATACCAAGTGGACCCGAAGCGCATAGTAATGCACGTTGCACTGGCGCAGTCTCGCTTCATCGACATCTGTATCCAAGTGCGCGAGCGCATCCAGCCGCATGGCTACCGCTTCGATGATTTTTAAGCTGATGGCGACGCAATCATGTTCTGAGGCGCATGTCAACATGGGCTGTGCCCGTAGCCAATGCTCGCTTTGACAGTCATACATACCTATACAAGTCTTGATCAGCTTATAAGCTGTCTCCAAGACTCTGAAACTCCCTGGTGCAGAGGTGGGTTAGTAGTGTCAGACATCCTTGTGGACCATAAGGCTATACCTATACTCCTATTCGAGACGGCAGTGTCGAGCATAGCCCATGCGAACGCTTTGACTACGTCTCCGCTCAGTCTCGATACCTGAGATTATACGGCAGATAAGGGTGTATGTACCTTTGCACAAGACCACGGATGTTGTAGGGTCGCTGCAGTTCGTCATACGCTGCGTGCAGCTGTTCCACAGTTCCGTGCCTGCGTGGTCCAAGCGCCGGCGAATGGAGGAGGAAGAGGTGCCTGTGGAAATTGGCAGATGACTGAGATAGCTGTCTAGCTTGTTCGACGTGGCTGCATCCGAAAGTAGACTTGGGTCTTCGTGGTCGTCTGCCTGGACTTGCTTCTGAATCTCGCCTGCGAAGGCTGGGCGAGGTAAGTACAGTAAATGGGCGCTCAATCTGGTGCGAGGTAGTCTGCTTACATAGAATGGCCTCTCCTGCCATTTCAGAAATCCGAGACGGGCTGCAGACGGTTTTTATGAAGTAAATCCTTGACTTGGAAGGGAACTGCACGATACCCCTGGGCGATGTAGTGGAAGTGCATGGCTCGTGTAAGTAGGTTGCTACTCCGCACTAGGACAAAGGGTGGTCCTGATACACAATGGCATCGGGGACCACCTGACCGGCATACTCCCTATATGTATGGCACTACAAATATAGCAGACTTTGACTCTTAGAAGAATCTCATTTTCTTGAACCCAAATTATAGTACATTTCCTAAAACTGGGAAGCTGTTCAAGTCAGGAGGTTATTACCTGGCTCCTGTGAAGCAAATGACAAAGAAATGGATATCTATGGACCAAAGCTAGATGAAAGTGTGAATGATGACTCCGTACTGAAGCGAGAAACAGCAGACAACGTGAAGGCGATGGACTTCATTTTGCTTTCCGCTACGAAGGTAAGAAGTTTCCAATTATGAGAGATGGTCTGTTTTCGAGGGGAGTTAGTGTTCCATCACCGATTCATTCCTTTGAGAATTGACTCACATGTTGTGGTTATCTCTCCGTATGGTGAATGAGAAGCAGCAGGGAATACCGTCAGTAGACGAATTCGAATTGGGATTTTTCAATGTGCAGCTTGTGAGCATTGCCTTTTGGGTGCTATCGAACGCAATCGCCCCGAATTTCTCCCAGTAGCTAACAAGCTGGTCTTCCACAATGATTTCATGGATAGCCAATTTACCCTGTGTAATGTTAGCATCCATTCGTCTCCGGCCAAGGAGACCAAAAACGACTCACATCGCGCAAGGACTCGATAGGAACGCCGATCAGCTCTGCCATTTCTTTGTTCCCTCGAAAGATCTCTCCTGTTCGTCTCCAGCAGCAAGCAGGAATAGCCATACTAGCAAAAACACGATCATACTCCATCAGACTGCGTTCGAACCACATCTCCACCAATATCAGCTCAATATCGGTCAAACTTTGCATCCTCTCCCGAAACTTCGGCCGGAATTTATCCAGCTGCCGAAGAATCTTCTGCCGTGAAGCTTGCTGGAGGTGTCTTTCCATATACTGGTTCAACCTTGCATAGCCCTTGACATAATTGAATGGTCTCAAGAGGCCTGCGTCATACTTGGCCTTGAGAAGTTTGTTCATTCGCTCCTCTGGTGGATCTGAGCCTGAAGGATCAGCTGCAGTCATGTAATATGTCTCTCTTGCCTTGTCGTTGCCCACTGCAGCAGCAGGGCCCTGAGCAGATTCACTCTGGGTTTGCTGATGCTGCTGATTCTGATTCTGTTGCGACTGTGCCTGTTGGGCTTGCTGGAGCATAGACGGGTTTGATCCTCCTAAGGTAGGCATGGAGTTTATCAATGTCGGGTCTGAATAGATCCCATGCAGATCATCATTTTGGAAAACCGATCCATCGTCAAGGAGACTATTACTGAGAAAGTCCCCAAGAAGGTTGTACTCGTTGGTGACCTCGGGCGCATTGAACATATAGGAGGGATGAAATGAGTGCATGTCTTGAAATTGGCTTTGCCCGCCAATCCATTCGTTGAAGGGAAGTACTGTGTAATCGCGTCAGTGACAATTTTCCAACGTCATCTTCATTAGGTGGCGTCTCACCGGAAGAAGACATATTGCCCGGCTGCTGCACCGAGGGCACAGAGGAAGCCGATAGGCCCATTGTCGCATCAGGGAGGATTTGCTGACCGGCAGCATCCTGGACATCGACCGTTCTGGGCATTCCTTGGATGTTTGGATACTCGTTGTTCGAAGAGGCTTCGTCATCCGCAGCCGAATGCTCATTCTCGCTCCGGGACCGCTTGGAAGACTCTCGAGGCTCGTCATGGCACAGGTGGCCGATGTTCCGCTTTATACATCGTGTACAAGGTCGTTCCTATCAAACCAAATATCTCGCGTCAGTATGCCTGACTCATTGGGAAACACCCTGTGCAAAAGACGTTTCACAAAGGGTGTGGAAGGAACAACGTTCAAGAAGGTCGTACCGAGTCGCAAGTCATATGCTGTGCCACGTGGAATACCCTCCTGTTAGCAAGTGAACCACTTTGGGATATCGATCAATTTGTTCTCGAAGAGCGGAATACCGCTCTAGACATGGCCAAGGAAGGTGGTTTGGCGGCCGCATGTGAGAGAGGCTTACCGATCGCCGACAGTAAACGCATGCTAGCAGTCATTTTCGCATCAGCCAGCCATTCGGGACGGGAATCTATGACAGAGAGAGCCCATAGATTCCTACCGTCACCCTAGCAGGGCCCATGGCAGAGACTATCTACTTACCATGATTGACCTTGCGGCGCTTCTTCGGACTCGAGTGAGCCCCCACCGCAACCATTTCAGATTTGGGGCCCTGTGTGCCCAGCAGTTCCTCCTTTACATTCGGATTTTCTCGCGTGTGTTCGCCATTTGCTATGCTGATTCTCGATTTATCGGTTGTCCCGTTGTTGGGTTGGTGTTCGGGCCCTGTACCCGGATGCGCTGCGCTTTTCTCCGTCATTGATCGCTGGGCGCAAAATTGTTGCGCAAGAACGGGATCGATGCTGAGATCAATTGATTCGACTGGCTCAGGGCGCTCCAAGGAGAATGGCAAGTTGCAGACATTCAAGGCTATGTGGAATTTGGGTTGGGCAGTAACGGTTAACAGTTTCGGTTGCTTAGTTGCGGCGTCGGTCTTGTAAACTGCTCAGTAGAAATTGCGAGGATGCGCGCGAATGCGATCGGCTCATCGAAGTTCCCCGCTGGAGCGGGACTTGGATCTTTGAACTCCCGGGCTCCTCCGCATTGGGAGGGGAGGGGGGAACAGAACGGCGGCTAATCTGTCAGCCTCGGGAAAGACTTGGCCCTGGAGCCACAGCCCATGTGCCACATTGGACTAATCATATATGAGTATAGTAACTTACAATACAAAGCAGAAACTAGGTTGCGTCGAATGATCTTTTAACTATAAATGCCTCATACAAAAAAAGGAAGTCCCTCGGTTAAACTCACTACATGTTGCTTGGAAACTCTTACGTTCAACAAATATTGAATGGTATGATTTACGCTCTTGTGAAGTGAAAGCACGTGGGCTATGCCTCAAAGTAGTATGGTCTTCAACACGAACTATCCTACACGCAAATAGGTCACTTGCATTTGCAGGCCCGAGCCCACAGCATTCTCAGATATGTACTCGTCTTTGCGTGCCAGTTTGTAGGCCAAGCGACCCATCAGTCCACTGTCTGGTGTATGTTTCACTGCTTGACTCGAGACCCAGTTTCTCGTATATATGTTCAGTGCATGTATCGCCAAGATATGCGGACCCTGTAAGCTAAATATTGGCCCCTTCATACCGAGGCCATGCACGGGGGCTTGATGCATTAGCTTGAAGGAATCCGCTCCTCAATCGTTGCGGTTGCAATTGGAATATTTGGCTGAGTTTGTGAGGCCAGCGTCACTGCTTCGGCGTTCAGGGCCCCCCTGGCCCATGATGATGTCGCTGTGCAGACTTCGCCGTACCATTGAAGGAAGATCGGCCTCAAATGAACAGCATGAGCTGCAAGTTTTGTTTTATGAGCTTGTTTGCTTCGAAGTTGCTTCAGTCTTCAGGAAGGAAAGTCAAACTCAACGCCGCTTGAGATTTGGCGACAGCATCGCTCAAGCCAGTCAGGGGAGTCGTGTTGTTTTGCATCGACTTGAGATGGCCATTCAACTGTTCTAATAGACCAAGAACTTCTGGATCGGCCTCAAGCTAAATAGGGCTTGTCAATAATGTGGCCGTACAGTTTGAAAAAAAAGCTCCTACCTCATCAAACATAACGTGTGCGTCGTTGTCATTTGCTATGGTAAATCCGCACTGGTTCGAGTCGTGGTTATCAGGAGCGTTGCTCAACTGCCGTAGCACCGGATGTTCCTTGATCAAAATGAGAATCAGCAACTTAATCTTGCTATCACTGAACAAGATCCTTACATTCTTCATCTGCCTCTTTCTTTCTGCCTCAACTCCCTTTGCATTTCTCTCCATCTCCTGCAGCTGTTTCCTCTCTTTCTCAAGTAGTGCTTCCTCTTTCTCTACCTCAACCCTCAATAGATCGATACTATCATTCATCGTAGCTAAAGCAGCCTCTAACGAAGACTTGACTTTGAGGTTAGACCAGTTTCCGAGCCGGTCGATCGATGGTGGAATCGCCTTACATGTTCTTTGAGGGCTGCTTCGTACTCAAACACGGAATCTTTCGCGACGGGGGGGAACGGCATTCGCGGCAGTCGTTTTCCCAAACTAAGCGACAGTATGTGGTCAGTTCTAGTCCCGAGAGTCCAACGGCACGTGTCAGGGACAGTACTTTTTCACAACAGCCTGCACGGCGGCCTGCGCTTCGATGCGCTTGCTCTCATTTTGTTGTCGCATGATGACAGGGCGCTCCAGGGCTCGGAACATATCGCGAACTTTGTCTTGAACGGGTTCGGGAAGCGTCGACCACTTGCTCTTGATGGTCCTCTCAGAGACCTGCCTGACTTGGGGCTTGAGGTAG